CTCGTGTTATGATGTAACCATTTTTATTTGGCCTTATAATTTCCAAAAAATCTTTAATTTCTCCCTCCTCCTCCTCCTTCTTCCCTCAAAGAACTAATTGAGATTTTTGCGAAAACATCGATCACTATTTCCAATATTGTATATTTTACAAACTTTTCTGATAGTTTGACATTGGGATCGTTCAGCCAACGTAAAGCTATCCAGCGCTTTTATTCTGAATAGCAGTTGCCATAGGATAACATTGTCAGATTGGCAGCAGTTTTCACTTTGTGGTCAGATTTAATAATAGTATTAATAATATCGTTTTTATTCACAAAGCTACATAAGTACGAATCATTATGACGAAGTTCAGCTAAAGCTTGATAATCTCAAGATGAAGTAAAGATGGTATAGGGATACAAAACAATAAAAATTTTCTATTGCAATTTCACAATAGTGTTGAAACCAGTTAAATCAAACATGAAACCCATTTAAATGCCTACAAATATACCGTGCCCATAAACTAACTTATATAATATATGTATTATTAACCAAAATTGAACAAGGAATAGAAAAATTGTAACGTGGTGCGCTGTAAGTATAACCTAACATGCTTACCGAAACAAGACAGGTTCATGGTTTTGTGGTCAACAGGAATATTATTATAGAGACTAGCAGCATTATACGATAGGAAAATGAGCGTTGGAAAAGCAGTGATATGGTATTGTAATATTCAATATACGAAACATACCTTTGTCCAAAAGTTGATAGTTTGCGAGATACAGGGTGTCACAGTTACGATTTTATTTTTTATTTTTCCTTATTGCTTGAGAAGTATTTCAGATTTTGGCATAAAACTCGGTAGGTATAGGCAGGCTTTCTAGTATGAGAAACAAGAATCAGTTATTTTTTATGGCCAAACTTCTAGAGGGCGCCACTTACAGCACTGTTTCGGTAAATAATTTATCATAACTTTTTTGTGCTACGCTGTATACAACAACTGACCGAAAATCATATTTTTTCGTATTTCCGCAACAATAAAGGTTTACTTGTTAGAAGTGACTAAAGTTAATATTTTCCGAGATATTTGTTTTTAAAAGTTCCAATGCATTATTTGATGATAAAACATTTTTATAACATAATAATCAAGTTGCTTTGGATAGTATCTGAGTAGCGTTGCTATGGCTTCTAATTTTTGTCATAATATTGCTTTAAACTTCATGAAAAATTTGAAGTTGACAATAAGTTCTTAAACACCGTGGAGTATACGTTTGATGAATATTCTGATATGCATTCAATGTACGGATTGGCAAGATGTAAAGCTTTGAAAACAAATATCTCGAAAACTATTCGCTATAGCCACTTCTAACAATCTAACAAGTAAACCTTTTTTGTTGTAGAAATGCGAGAAAATAAGATTTTTCTGTCAGTTGTATACAGGGAGCACAAAAAAGTTATGTAAGTGGCGCCCTCTAGAAGTTTGGCATTAAAAGTAACGGATTCTTGTTTCTCACACTACTCAAGCAGTAAGGAAAAATAGAAAATAAAATTATAACTTTGACACCCTGTATCTCGCAAACTATCAAGTTTTGGACTAAGGTATGTTTAGGTCAATTCACATATTTTGGTCTGTAGTATCTCCAGTTTCGAGATTTCTCAACCTTTCGCAGACACCCTGTATATCTAAGAGTTTTGTTGTGTATTTCACTAGAAAAATAAGCTTTTCTCTTCGATACTTGGGTTTACCAGTTGCGATCAGTTTATAGGAGAACTCCAAATAATGAAATTAGTCGAATACTCGACATACACCCTTAAACCACACGTGAATCTACCACAGTTGTTTTGAATCACTTGTAGACGCCTTTTAGTGAGCCGATTCAAGCTAGGCTGGTAAAGAATATTACAATAATTAATAATTGAGAGAACAAGAGATTCAGCTAGCTTTTCTCGTAATAAAGATGGCAGATGCATATAAAGTACGTGATTTCCAATAGGACTTTTTTAATATAAACATGACTTTTGAATCTTAAGTTAGTATATAAAATGACGCCAAGTATTTCAGACTCATTAGTAAATTGTATGCGTTCTAATCCAATTTTGGGATGGAACGTTTGGAGGATGCGCTCTCGTTTAGTATTAGAGCAGAATAAGACGATTTTAGATTTTAAGGAATTTATCTCGAAATTGTGCTTTAGTAGTATGCTGATTAATTTTCCAAACTGTCAAACTGTCCACGGCTACTGCTGGCCGTATCGTCAGTCGTTCATACAATTGTAGGACGCCTTTATAGCCTCCTTGATTTTCATAGTTTTCTACTGTTCCGTGTGAGCGCTGTATTTTTTGGTTATGTCACAAATATCTATTTGCAGCAAATTGTTCATGCCTTTGTATTATACAATTCAAAAAGAAAAGATAAGTTCACAATGGGAGAGCGCTCACGCTGACACGGAACAGTAGACATTTAGAAACACCCGAGCCTTTCTGAAGAGAAAAGAGAAAAGACTAGGAAAATCAAGGATGCGATAAAGGTGTCTTACAATTATTGTAGGAACGACTGAAGATACGGCCCTAAAAGCGCTGCACCGCTGGACCACTTTACGCTGGCTGAACGCTCCTATTGCAAAGTAGAAAATCTTCGACTGTTCAAATTTAAACTTCTGGTATTTTGGCTTTGGGAAACCTTACGTAGGTGCAGATACTCAGGATTTGCCTAAACAAGGGACAAAACTGATGCTTTGCATTACTTTATCCTTTATTATTACTTTATCCTTTGACTATATCTAAGCTCAAATGTGAAAATTTCAACATGAGTGCGAATCTTTGAACGTCCACAACAAAACCGATAAATAGAGACACGGAAAGATTCAAATAAAACTTTTACTTCAAATATATAAGTTCTAAGCAAATAGTTAAGAACCAGCGATACTTCACCCTACGTGATCGGGAATGTTGACGAGAATGATATCAGAGTTTAGCTAGTAATAGGTGTAGTACAGGTGTGCAATAAGGGACGACTGATGTGATGTAACATCTGCTTCAGAGACTTCATAGTGCTTAGTGCATAGTTAGGATTTGTGTGCTAATATTCTGTGTTGATGATAATTCCATTGGTTTCTTGTCTCAAAAATACTTACTTGAGATGTATGCAAAGCTAGACATTAGTTGCGCATCCAGTTTTTTTATTCATCCTGGAAATTATAGATGTAAATTTCAAAAATGAGAGACATAAGAAAAAATATTCCCTGGTTGGTGAAATATATTACTATCAACAGATGGGAAAATAGGCCACATACAGGAATATTTATGAAACGTATTACTTTTCATTTCGATTTTATAAATACGAATCAGCGCCTAGATGTGAGGCACTGCATAAAATTATGTATGATGCGTCATTTCTAATTTTTCTGTGTTGTGGCTTAATTACACACGTTCCCGTAATGGTTCTCAAAGTTTTTGAGAACGCAAAAATTCAAGGAAAAATCGTAATTTATAACTTTAAGCATAACCTCTTTTCAGAAAGGACAGCACATAAATAACTTCGATTGTTACAGCTAATACTCGTAGATATACATACTTCATGAGCAGCATATTCAGTAATAATTTTCTCACATAACAAATATGACTGATTTTATACACATGCAGACCAGTACACACGACACAATTATTCAGATGCGATCTTGTTTCTTTGCTACTCAACTTTGCCACATCTTCTCAGAGATATAGGTATAGGATACTGTACACGCTATCTCGGCATTCTGCAACCAACAAAGCATGCTGGTCATTGAGTGTGTCGTTGAGTCATTCCTGCACAGATGACGCTTTTGGTGACACTCACAGCGCTCTTAGCGAGCAATAATGGAATGAAATATGTGTACACTAGGAACTATCTAGTGAGCAAGTTGACATTTTGCCGGTTTTTTTCTCATTATAGAGGTTTTTTACGTAATAACCCTGCCGATCACGTAGAGTCGCGTGTCGCTGGCTCTTAGACTATTTGATATAAACTCAGATATATTCGAAGTAAACACTTTTTTACTCTGTTCCGTGTCTTCACGACTAGGTTGGTGAGGGAACATGTTCAAAAATTCGCATTCATGTTAAAATTTTCACGGAATTCCTTCCAAACGTATGCCCAATAATATTTACTAATATCTCCCTTAGGGAATACAGCGAAACATTCACTTATGTCCAACAGTGTAGAAATATACAACCTTTAAGGTTTGTTCGTACAGTGCTCAGTGACTTGTCGGTGACTGTATCTGGGATCTGGCTATATAGCGTGAAAGAATCAACAGAATTTGTGTGGCAGGATATTGGACTCGATCACTGTTCACTGATGACAGCTGTACGAATAGGGCCTAAAACATACGCTTCCTCCACAACTAACATAGAAATCGTGTCCATGGTAGCTGTGCGGCATCAATGCACCTTAACATGGTTACCAAATGTTTTTTGATTGAAATTTCCGGCAAAATCAAGTAACAATTACGTCAATTTTACAATTTTTAAACAATTAATTAAGGAAGTTTATTTATTTTTATCCACATCCCCGATCACGTAGGGTCGAGTATCGTAGGAGCTTAGACGAACAGAAACTTCGTATCGAAGGCAGAATCAAGCTTCTCATTCTACACAAATTGTTCAAAAATCACTGTCTCAATAAAACATAAATCGATGGAAAACTGGAAAACAGTTATTTTAGACTGGAATGCTTGATTTGGGATTATTACTGTAAAAATATGATTTCCCAAAATTAAAGTTCTACACTGTGAAGCTCTGTTAGTTTTTACCATTATCAAAGTCCCAGAAATTAACCTTCCTATTAGTATTGTTCCTCCATAAAAGCCAGATTTATGTGAGTAAAAGGCATACTTTGATATTGGCAAAACAATATCTGCAAATACCTTATTATGTTTCATATTTCGGAAACGATTTTCATTATCGCGTTAGTACGCAAAATTATTCTCTGTACTCTGTTACCACTGTTTTGTTCCTCCGATGTATGACTTTTATTTTTTCAGAAGCGATCTGCTGATGGAGAAGAAGAAGTTCGTTACTGTCAGGGACGAACGCCTTGTGGTTGGGCGCTGTACAATAAAACTAATCGGTTCATCTATGACTATATGAGGAACAGGTATGTTACATATTATATGTTATAATTATAGAGTGTTTGTAGTAATTGTTACTCTCATGTTATTCGAAATTTTAATGCTTATTATAACCCTAAATTTTAAGGGAAAACGTGAATAGGACGGAAATTGCGGGTTTATCAACCTTGGAGGCAAATATTTCAAAAATGAGATGTTGGATTTAATTCAAATTTTGAGTTATTGTTTTGCTAATTATTACTTCCACGCCTACTGGCCGACCCTTTCCGTCAGTCTGTCTGCCTGTCTTATAACCGCCTATAACTTGAGAAGTACCGCTCGGATTTCGATAAAATTTTTACACAATGTTACTACTATGCCAGGACGCAGAAGCTTTGTACTGTTTGATAATCAGTCCAGTGACGGCAGAGAAAAATGCCAAAAACAAAAAAACTCGCTTCCTGATCAGTTTTGACAAAAATGTTAAGGGTTAAGAACTAGGGGTTAGGATTTGTAGGGGATGGGGATTTTTTGACGTTTATATATTTATACGCCTTCAACCCCAGTAATTCGACGCACATATTAAGCATATTTCACTCATCATAGATGCCACCGTACATTTACCCTTGAAACTTATCTCCTACAGTCGGGTGTCGATACGAGCACCGTGGTGCCCCGATGGACAAGCGTCGTCGTCGGTGGTCGTACGTCACAGTCATCAATCGCTTCTGCACTGCTGTGGGCTGTGTGCACTGGCATGGTGATGGCCAATGTCGTCATTCACACGGGATCATCTAATTTTTTGTTATACATGTTTGTAGCTTTTTTCTCAGAAGGGCTAACTTGTGTCAAACATAATCCTTTACGAAGTGATGACAGCGCAGCGTGGGAAGTACAGAGTCAACTTACCGAACGTCATTTTTAAACCTATATATAAATGTATTGGTTGTTTGGTGAAAACTCAATATGTGAAATATTTCATTCAAACTTCACAAAAAGATATGTCCATTCAATGTTCTGAACTTTCTTTCTTCCACATCTTCTCAGAAATAAACACTATAGACTACTTGGCTTTCTGCAATTAACAAGCAACGGAATACTTGTCTGCAAGATGACATTTTGTCGTTTTTTGTTTTGACGTTTTTTAGGTTTCTCACATTTCTCACCCTTGCCGGTGCCACCCCTGTAGAGGGTGATAAAAAATTGATCTGAAAAGGCTCATGACTGACTAGGGCGTATTTTCCTACCAAAGAATAGCGAAACACGTCGGGACGAGTTGAGCTATCCTTCATAAATTGTCACCCTTCAGCAACTCTGTTCACTTTTTTGTATAGACTTTTTCACGATTTTAAATTTTGTATCCACATTAAATTGATGTATTTTTTGTGAAACAGTGTTTTGATAAGTTGTTAACGAAAAGTGGTAGATATAAGTTATGTTATCCAAATGGATTGTATGGAGGAAGAAGTTAAAGAGGATAAGGAAATATACTCAGAGACAAACACTACTCAAAAAAGTTAAGGGAGCAAGACAAGAATCCAAATTTTTCGGTGATTTTTGACAGGGTGTATTTCGGTAAAAAGTGCATGTATCTAGGATCCAAAATAAGCATTTTGAAGCTTCAAGATTATAGCTTACAGATTTCTTATCCGAAAAATTTTAGGAGCAACCGTTCTCATGCAGATCTAACAGATAACGCAAGAAATATTTTTTGCTAAACGTTTGCCTTCTCTTTAGTACACGAGTGTTATTGCAAAGATGATTCTAAATTGTAAGCGCGTTCATATACAGGGTGTCCCGAAAAAAGTGTGCAATATTCTACCAGCGGTTTCCAGAGCTTAAAATAGGAAGAAAAGTTTATATAAACATAGGTCGACAAACGTCCCCTAAGGGCGCTACGGTCTTTTAAAGGGGCTCCCCTGAAGATGTTTTTTCCTTAATATTTCCGAAACGTGTTGAGATAAAGACATAAAATTTGGTATTCTAGCCTAGTTGTTTATGCTGAATTTAAAAATATTAACAATTTTTGACAGTTTTGTTTGGAAGCGTATGTAACAGGGACGGACTCGGGTTATTTTAGCCTCAAAATTTTTGTGTGATTCTATTTTTGAAATCCAATTTTAGAATTTGTGAATTTAGGGTTTTCTACATAAAAAGGTACTCGATAAAGTATGCCATTTTTGAATAAAATCAAACTAAAAAATTTGTCACATGATAGGAAATGTACTGCGAATTTAAATGAATTGTTGATTATACATAGTTAGCCATGACTGCAAAAAAAAGTTGTTTTGATTTGTTATGACTTGTTTTGACGTTAAGCTGACATTGTTAGCAGTGTAAAATTACTAGATTGATTTCAGCGCATGCAGGGCTCAGGAAGGCCACTGGGAAATCATCGTATGGATATTGCTTTAAATATGTTTGAAAATAATCCGCAAATAGGCATACAAAATGTTTCAGAAAATATGGATATACCTCGATCAATAGTAAGAAAAATTTATGAATACATATTTGATAGTTATCCTAAAAATAATAATTTTAGATAGGAAGAGTGACAAGAATGCAAGGATTACATCCTTATCACTTTAAACGGGTGTAGCATTTAACGGAGGCAGATTTTTTACCACGAATCGAGTTTTGCTAGTGGATATTAGCAAATGAAAACACTATTCCTAGAATATTATGGTCGGATGAGTCAATATTTACTAGGAATGGTGCTTTTAATTTCCATAACATGCATCACTGGTCAGATGAAAATCCAAAAGTTGTTCGCCTTACAAATTTCCAACATAGATTTTCATTGAACTTATGGGCAGGAGTAATTGGGGATCAAGTAATTGGGCCTATTGTACTTCCCAATCGTCTTAATTTATCTGAACTTTCTTCAGAATGAGCTCATGGATATAATACCATTGGATGTGCGCCAGCAGTTTCAAGAAAATATGTATTTTCAACATGATGGCGCCCCTGCACATTTTGGATGCAATGTTCGAAATTGGTTGAATGTCAATTTTCCAGACAGGTGTTTAGGCCGAGGAGGTCCTATAGCGTGGCCGCCACGTTCACCTGACCTAAATCCATTGGATTTCTATTTTTGGGGGTCATTAAAAGACCTAGTTTACTCGACTGAAGTAAATACTCAAGAAGATTGACTTCAAAGAATCCATCAGGCTGGCAGGAAATAAGAAGAAAAAGGTTTTCCACTTTTCGGGCTACGCAATCATTAGTTCGTCGAGCGAGACTCTGTATCCAACAAAATGGAAATTTATTTGAACACTTATTGTAAAGCTAGTTTTAAGTATATCCAACTGTATGTCTTCTTTTTTAAACAAATTTCAATTTCGTTCGTAGAAAAAATTTATTTCTTTTGTTTTTGCCTAAATGTTAGCTACGTTGCAATAGAAATATGTATTTATGTAATATTTACCAATTATTAAATTAGTTTTTTCGTTGCCATGGCTAATTATTCAACAATTCATTTAAAATCGCAGTACATTTCCTATCATGTGACAAATATTTTTTAGTTTGATTTTATTAAAAAATGGCACAATTTATCGATATTCAATAAGAGTACCTTTTTTATGTAGAAAACCCTAAATTTTCAAATTCTAAAATTGAATTTCAAAAATAGAATCACACAAAAATTGTGGGGCTAAAATTACCTGAGTCCGTCCCTGTTACATACGCTTCCAAATAAAACTGTCTAAAATTGTTAATATTTTTAAATCCAGCATAACAAACTAGGCTAGAATACCAAATTTTATGTCTTTATCTCGACACGTTTCGGAAATATTAAGGAAAAACCATCTTCAGGGGAGCCCCTTTAAAAGACCGTAGCGCCCTTAGGGGACGTTTGTCGCCCTATGTTTATATAAACTTTTCTTCCTATTTTAAGCTCTAGAAACCGCTGGTAGAATATTGCACACTTTTTTCGGGACACCCTGTATAATTAAGGTAATAAGGTAATCGACACCCGAGCCATACAAAGACAATGAGGATTGGCACGTACTATACCTGGGTGTTCCTGTCGCCTGGTCTGGAGGAGCTTCTCTCTCTTCACGGCTTCTTCTTAGGTTCACCACACTTGCCTTAGCGAATACTCGTATTGTACGCGGTTTAACTAGGATTCTTTGTCGAGGTATTGATGACGACCGTTGCCTTTTCCGATCTTTACGAGAATTTGAAGACGACCGCTTGTGCGCATGTTTTACTTATATGCGCACGTGCCAAAGAATTTGAATTTGTATGGCTTTTGAGTTCAAATAACAAAGTATGTTTTAGAGCTTGCATGAACAACGAGCTTAAAATATTTTTTCTGTTAGGTCATCATTATTCAGCTTTAATATCCTGTTTTTAAAAACTCGATATGATCATTTAGCGCGGAGATATCTGACTTTGATAGAAAAAGGATCCTTTTGTCATCGACGACTGCTCTCCCAGTAACCAGTGGCCGCACAGAGAATGTAAGGTTATTCCCCAAAACTGGATAAAACCCTCTATACGATTTAATTACAATCTTTGAGGTAATTTTCTTTGTTTCCTTAGTGCTGATTTTAAAAAAGTCAAAACAACTCACGTTTATCCTTGGTTTGGAAAATCGACCGCATTTTTAGGACTGCTAATAAGATTTTCGGATTTTTTATACCTCAATGAACCTAACCCTATACGAAAGAAGAAAGCAAACATTTTTAAAGAAATTATTCTTGCGCTATGTTAGAATTGCATTAGGACCGATGCTCTTAAAATGTTTCGGCAAAAAAATTGAAAAACTACCGTATTGGAGTTCCAATGTGCTTTTTTAAAGTCTAGATACGACAATTTTTCACCAAAATACAACTGGTCAAAAATCACGGGAAAAAATGGATTTTTTTGATAATCTCTTAATTTTTTGAGCAGTGTATTTCAATTTAATGTGTCAAGAAATCTGACACTTTTCGAATATGAAGCAAATATCAGAAAGTTTCATAACAACTTAATAATTGCGTGATCTACAGCAGTTATCAGTACAGACATCACTAAAAAGCTCACCAACAGCCTCAGAAAAACAAAATTCTAAGAACGGATGAACGAAGTTGGCCCACGTTGAATAAAAGACGATTTTATCAGGCGTAAAACAAATCTATAATTTACTGGCATTTATTTAATTTCAGATGTATCTGTGAGGGTGCCAAGAAATGTCATCGAGACCAGGATGATATCTCTATTTCTTCATATGTTTATCGCTGCAAATTAGAGGATACAAAGCCGGGAGATGCGCAGAATACACCGGCAACTTTCCCAGAATCTTGATTTTATTTGAAACCATAAGCATTTAGACGTAACTGGCAAACTAAACTATCTGTTTCTATGAAAGCTTTTTCACATTGTCCTTTGACAAGAAATATGATTATTATTACTCGCAATTTACTGCAAAACACAGGATTGGATGACCGTAACATCTAGGAAATGATATTGATATTAATTTGTTCATTTCCGTCTTTGAAATATATTCTCACATAGGCTGAACGTACACATCCCTATAGTTGTGTTAGTACTAGGCATAAACGCAAACGTTAATGCGAGTATTAGGTGTTAATATTTTGCTAATAGCTACTAACTGTTTTACACAAAAGGTTTCCAAGTACGTCTATTTTAAAATTAGGCATGGTTAAGACAAGACTGAGTGTGGATTGTGATTTTTTAATGTAAGAATGAATCATTTTTTAGCTAGGTAGGCACATTTGATTTATAGTTGTCGTGCATGATAAAGTGCAATTGACATATATTCAATAAAAGATATTTGCTGTACTTAAGAACCAGAGGCGGATTTAGGAATCTGTCTATGGAGAGCGCAGCGGTGGTTGAACAGCGATTCTGAATGCATATGTATTTGTAACAATTGGAAAGCGGGGAGTGGGATACGTCTAGGTGGTCGCACGTCTCACAATTCAGGTCTAGCTAGGTAATTTTACACTAAGATACAGCAATATATACAATTTCCTTGAAAAAAAAACTGGCAGACAGTCGATACGAGCGCCTCCTTCGCCTGTCTCCCCCCTCCTCAAAATCCGCCAATGTTAAGGACAAATTAAATTATCGGAAGAATGCATTGAAAACCGATAAATTAAAATTTTTGAAAATTACATCATATTGTATCAAAAAAGTAATACTTCAGACTCTGGTCTCTATCGGGGAAACAAATGAAGATGTTCCCAATTCATTAACGCTATTTATTTTGATGTTTTGTGTTTTTATATCATATTCTTAACTATTGTCAATTTTTACTTTTTACAGTTAATACTTGATTTTAGAAAAACTCATGTTATCCGGAAATCGATAGTTTATAACGTTTATGATAGCGTGGTAGTTGACGAAAAACTGCTCCCATGGATTTTTAAATACAGTTTTGAATTCACGACATTTCCTGACTTTATGGAAGGAACAAAAAGTAAAGAGGAAATCTAAGTTTTAAGAGTAAGTACTTTATTGTTTCTGTTTGCCTTTTTAATTTGTCGAATTTCCTGTTCGTGCAGTTGTATGTTTCAATTTCAAAAAACAGAGTTCGTCGTTATTACCGACTGGCAAATTCTGTACTAGTATCTAATGAACATTTATTCAGATGACACTTGAACCTCATTCGTTCCATACCTACATCCGCATTTTCGTAGAGATCATGTCATTATCGCACAAATCAAGTTGGGTATACAATTTACTACTTTCAGTATTTTATAAGCGTATTGTGTAGCGTATAATGTAGATTTAAGTGTAGACATAAAGTACAAAAAATAATGAGGATCCTATGCATATTTCCATAAGAAGATATGTATTCTATACAAGTGTTTATTTATGTGAATATGTAGAGGTGCATCAATATTTTTTGTTTATAACACTGTTGTAAACTAACACATAGTAAAATCGTTCACATATAGACAAATTGTAGTATTTATATGTTCTATACTCTTATGTATGTCTATCGTTTAAATTTCTATTATTTACATTTCTTCATGTAAAACGAATCTTACTTGAGTTTATAGGTTAATTATTATGTATAAGCTAATTATATCTAGGAGTTCAGCGCATTTTCATCTACAAAATGTTTTAGCTTTCACTGGTCCATGACATAATATTTTTCTCTGTACAAAATACTTATAATGCAAATAGTACCAGCTCTATACCATGTATGTTAGTTCGTATAAGATTGACAAATAAATTTTATGACCACATTTGCTTCATGATTGCAGGTTACATCCTGTCAACGAAGTCGAATACGTTAGACGAGACTAAGCCATATGTTTACATTGCATCGTTGTTTGTCGAAAAAAATATGTAGTATGTATGTCAGACGTTTCTACAAATTGGACTCCTTCAAAAAATCCTAGATTGCACCTGTTCCGTGTCAGCGTCAGGGCTCTCCTATTGTAAAGTAGTCTATTCTTTTTGAATTGTAGGGAATTTCAGACTGATAAAACATGATATAAATCAAAAGCATGAACAATTTGATGCAAATAGATATTTGTGACATAACCTTAAAATAGAGCGCTGACTCGGCGTCCTACAATAATTATTGTAGGACGCCTCTCAAAATTCCCCAAACGGCATAGGACACATAATTCTGACGGATCCGTCAACGTCAGGTAGCCAGAGCCGTATTTTTTTAGTTTTTTGTACACTACAGATTCATTTTGTACTTGCTAACAGCTCTTTTATTTAGAAAAGTTCATTTGTATACAAAAAACAAAACTCTACAAACAAGTTTTACTAGATTTGCACCCGATTCATTATTGCCAACGTCGCAGACTAACACAAAAATGTCACTTGCTGATCAGCTATTTACCTTAGTAGACGTCAAGCCGTGATAGATACTCGTGAAATAGGGTATATAGAAATCTAGAAATAGCCCAGTCTGTCTGAAGGAGAGAAAATACTACGAAAATCAAGGAGGCAATAAAAGCGACCTGCAATTGTTGAAATGACTGACAATACTGCCCTGAAGGAAATAAAAGGCTATCGGAATCCTACAATTGTAGAACGCCTTTATGGCCTCCTTGATTTACATACTACTGTTCCGTGTCAGCGCTCTAATTTGAGGTTGATGTTACAAATAACTATTTGCATAAGATTTTTCTTGCTTTTAATTTATATCATCTGTTATATCAGCCTGAAATTTCCTACAATTCAAAAAGAAAACAGCCTCACAATAGGAGAGCGCTGACGCTGACACGGAACAGTAGAAATCTAGAAATACTACATCCTTTCTGAATGAGAGAAACAACTATGAAAATCACAAAGGCATTCTACAGTTGTCGTAGGAACCACTGATACGGCCGTTAGTGCATATCTTTCTATCATTGCCTACCAAAGTGGCAACCCAACACATCGGCGTATATTTTTTTCTCTGGAGATGTATTCAAAAAGCTAATCGTACTGGCTGTATTAATTTTAGCAGAGCAAAAATGATATCTACGTTGCTATGCGAATCGCTCAGTTATTTGTTAATATACAGGGATAAATTAAATAAGGCAATGAAACAAAAGTAAATATTAACGGTATAACACATGACTTATTCTACTTAATTTGTAATTTTGGAAAGTGTTAAGAAAACAGTTGCAATAGCAGAATACCTGATATTTGAAATAGTGGGACATCTTGCTTGAATTCTAAATAGTTGTGATCCGAGCGGATTCTTGGCTAAAAGCAAATACCTAGTTGAGCATTTTATGGAAATTACTACTACGTTATTATTGTCACTATATCACTAAATCCCCTCTCTCGGGGCGTCGACGGGGAGGACAGCGTAGTAGACACTCGACAACGAGCAATCAGGCGGTACGGCATGGTTTGCATCCGTCAGAGCTTCCTAAAGAAGGAAATTCCTGATAATTTTATTAATTCTCGCATTTTAACGGTTTGTAACTCATAGTTTTTTGAGCCTACTGATCTTCCTCGTAAAATCTCGTAATAATAATGTAAGGTCGTAAAATTAGTATTTCAAACGTGAAATTAAAGAAACAACTTTCAAATTCAAAAAAGATGAGACCCAAAGTTGAAGATTGAGTTGGACCTTTTGAGCATCCGTAAAAAATATTTTTCTCCAATACTTTTTCAATGTTGTTGTGACAGGAATAAATCAGAACTGTCCAGGTAAAAACCTAACGTTGAGGTACATGCCCTTTCGTCACGCCGGTGACTATAATATACATGTTATATTGACATTTATCCATGGATAACTGTGTTTAAAGCACTTTTTGCATTCGACACAAACCTTCAAAACTTTTGTTAATTGAATATACACTGGGATTGAGTCACATTCAGGAATAAACCGACTTTCTGCTTGAGAGCGGTGTAAACTAATAGCTGTATACGTGAGATTCTTCGACTTATTCAATGATGTTTCTGCCAGAAGCGCAATCATATTGAAATTGTTATCTAACTCAATAATAAATGACCCCCTGGGAGAAAGGTCTTGAGATCGAAGAGGCCACCAAAGCAGATTTACTCCAGACGCGTCAAAAAAGTCTAAACTAACACGAGTGACATGCATTGTCTTGCTGAAAAAGTGGATCTTGCAATACTAATCGTGACCTGCTGCCGTAAGCAATAGCATCTCATACCATAACACCCATAGTGCGATGAATATGCTGTTCGATGGAATATTGGACGTTCTTCCGTCTTTCGCCACGTTTCCTCCTTACTTTTATACGGCCATCATATGTGCCCAAAAAGAATCTGGACTCATCGCTGAAGAGGACTCGGTTCCATTCCATATTCCATTCAAGTATCTATACCAATCGTTGCCGACGATGATGTGGAGTCAGATGTAGTACAAGATGGGGACGGTATGAAAACATTCCAAAATACCTTATTCGGCGATAAACTGTCCTCATTGTTATTGACCTCCCAACAGCATCAAACCACTGGTTCTGCACTTGTTGGGGAAAATCGATCTCTAAGTGCTAGTTGCCTCAAATAACGGTCACGTCGCTCTGTAGTCTGTCTTTGACGTCCAGTACCACTAGCTCTTCGATTTCGGCCTTCTTGGAACCATGCTCGACAACATCTCATTACAGTAGCTTCGTTTCTATTTATCCGATTAGCGATTTCCCTAAAAGAAAATCCGGCTTCACGTAACCCGATTATCCGACCCCTCTCAAACTCGGAAGGTTAAGTGAACAATGAAACAAATGGAACTAATACAGAAAAATTACTGATATGACAAAAAAGCCTTTACAAAAAAGTACGGTTCGGAATGCCTGCTTCCACATGTTATCAGCGTATACTTCCATGATAGCAAATATGTTTACAAGTTTTTATCAAAATTCAATAATCAATTCTGGGTGCATTTTATATACTAAGTGACATATAAATCCGAACACCCAGTTTAAATGGTTTTATTTTAATAAAATTTTGTATAAGTACTTAATGAAGCATAATAAGTAAATGACAAAAATTTCAAAATGATTGCACTGCTTTAAAGCCCGTTGACCTTTAATAATGTGTGGATGCACCCTGATGTGCTACGCATTCTCCAACGCGCCTAGGCATGCTTCTGATCAGGTGGTCAATGTCCTCCTTTGGTATCTCATACCAGGCAACCACCAACTCCTCTCGAAGTGCTTCTAGAGTCTGAGGAGGACGTTGCAAATTGAGCAATCTCCTACCCATCATATCCCACACGTGCTCAATTGGGGATAAGTCGGGAGATCATGGTGGCCATGGTAACAATGTGACATCATTAAGTTGAAAGAAGTCTATTGTGACTCTTGCAACATGTGGTCGGGCATTATCTTGTTGGAAAGTTGGATCTGCCAGGGTGTCAAGATAGGGTAAAAGATGGGGTTCTAGAACTTCGTGGATATAACGCTGCGCGTTCATGTTACCTCTGATGAAGATTAAAGGTGACCTGGAACCATAAGCTATAGCACCCCAAACCATAACTCCAACAGTGTGATGAACATGTCTTTCAACAAAAAACTGTGGATTCCTCCTTTCACCACGTCGCCTTCTAACCCTGGCACGACCATCGTGCAAGCCTAAACAAAATCGAGACTCGTCACTAAAGACAATACTGTTCCATTCCTGATCCCTGAGTGACCGTTGTCTGCACCACTCAAGGTGATTACGTCGGTGTTCTCGAGTTAAAGGGATGACCCAGTGTGGCCGGTATGAAAACAAGCCAAAACTTCTCATTCGTCGGTAAACACTTCGCCTGTCAATAGGTCTTCCGTGTTCTGCAAACCATTCATTTGCAATGGACCTGGTAGTGGAGAAACGGTCCCTTAAGGCCAATAATCTTAGGCGGCGATCTTCACGGTCTGTTGTTCTACGGCGTCGTCCAGTGCCCCTTGCTCTTTGCGTACGGCCTTCTCGAAGCCATGCTTGACAACACCTAACCACAGTGTCTACACTTCTTTGCACAGGTCTCCGTACTCTAGGCATCGTAACCGATCGTCAAGAACCAAAATCCGCCAGCGTTGATTCTTTACTGCGGCTGAAATATTCATTTTTAGAGCGCTGGTGAATTAAAAAAAAGCAGTATAAAAACCGGAATGTCCAACTGATAAGGCTGAACATTTTTTCACTTGTTATTTACAGTAAGATAAATACATTCACCAACTTTTATTAAAATAAAACCATTTAAACTGGGTATTCGGATTTATATGTCACTTAGTATATGTCACTAAGTATATTTATGCTAATAGCTCACAAATTAGTATAGTTTAAGTAATTTTCCTACAAGTGAAATGGTATAAGAGGTATCGGGTTCCAGTAGAAGATAAGAGTTTAGCAATTCACATCACTTCTAGGATTTACATTTTTCATTTCAATTATCTATCATCGTTGCAATTAATTAGGAATATCAGAGAAAAAAAAACAAAATTATGCTGATCGACTTATCTACATGCTGGCAATTTGGCAATTCTAGTAACTACATTGCGCAACTTTGATTGATTTCCATTGAGATTTTTTATGAATATATAGAACGTTTCTTAAACATGGGGTAAAGACTCAAAGGGTGATGCTCTTTTTTTATACTTCAACTACCATGAAGGCCTAACGCCTAAACACCCGTGGAGTGCCGTGGGGCTACAGGGAGATACAGGGGAAAGGGGGAACGCCACACGGACTCTGGCGAGGGAACACGTGCGCATGCAACATGCACACATTCTGGCCCCGCCTACGAGATCCGCCGGCTGGTACCTCTGCGTTCGACAGCCGGAGATTG